TTGCGAGGCAACGGGCGGAAAGCGCAGACGCGGGGTATAATAAAGCGTTACGGGGATGCGATCAAAAACCGATCAAACCTGTCGCGGTAGCGCTGATACGACACTATCGTGGCCGGTGTACACGTGCACCACCGCCCTCTCACACGGCGCGCAAAAAACTTGAGTGTTTGAACGATGGATTTTGCGGACAGGTACAGGTGAGGAGCGTAGACGTTGTTGATGTTCTTCCGCAGCCCGAAGGGCCTTTGAGGAGGGCGCATTCGGTCTCCGGAAGGAGAGGACCGGAGCTCCCTTCATCGGCGGCCGTGGGGCGGTGCATCTTCGTCAGAAGACACGATCGGACGGGCGCAACGCGTTTTATGCAGGTGCGCCGGAGGCCGACGCAATAGCGCACACGGTGGAGACCACCCTCTCGACGAGAAGAAAAAGCGGATCACGAATGTCAGCGCCATTGTGAGCATCTCAGACGCGTGCTCGCTATTCTCATTCACCAACTGCGTTCCCGTGTTCAAACGAGCGAATACGTAAGCGACAGCCCATGGACCTGGCGCACCTGGAAGACCCTCACGACGCCTGCACCAAAGCTACCGTAGACAGGACGATGGCAAAGGTCAGCACCATCAATGTGTTTCCTTACGAAAATTGTGACGGTAGACGAATCGCAGCATCCGGTGATCGTGCCTCATGAATTCAGCACAACCGACTGACGCGCAAGATGCAGTGCCAGAGTCGTCTATGAAACAGGCCCCTTGGCGCAGGCCTGCCTCTTCACGATCGAAAGTCCGCACCTGCCCCCACCCACAGCGCGACGGCACTGGTGTGGTCGACGACAAGCCCCCCTCACCGTTGATACTCGCCATGTGGACGCCCTTTTGTGTGAGGAAAGGACAGGCTCTCGCCTTTCGATTATGGAAGGAGTCGCGGCACTACGGAACTAGGTGAGTTGAAGCACTGTTTGGGACTAGAATTCGCGAGAGAGGAGAAATTCATGTCAGTGAGCCAGTCCGGTTACTTGAATGACGTCCGGAAGAGATTAGAGATGTTCGATTGCAATCCAGTTGGAACACCCATGGAACCTGGGCTAAAGTTAGTCATTAGGAACCAGATCTGACATAGCGCATGCGATCAGTCGACTGAGCCAAGTTCACAAAAACTAAGGACCATCCGATAATGTATACACACCCTGACTGGGGAGGCTGCCATGTGGACCGCAAATCTTAAACGGGATATGTTCTTTTGGCCAACGTGAAATGTGTCACCATTCACAATGACAACATTGCTGCACACAAGTTGGCGAACAATCCCGTGTTCCACGCACGCACGCACAAAGCACGTGCACATCAGGCACCATTACGTGCGAGATGCGATTAAGCAATATCTAGTGAAAATAGAACACGTTCCCTCAGAAGAGATGACCGCAGATACGTTGACAGTTCACATCCATGTACCGCTGCTGCCCATAGGCAACGTTTTGAAACCTTTTAACATGTAGGGATAAAGGTGCATAATTTCATTCCTAGACTCCTTTCATATTGCGATTACACGCAATATTCCAAGAAAACTATATTATATTAATCGAAAAATTCTATACCGAAAAGGCTTTAATGTTTAACTTTCCCAAAAGCCAAAGCAAATACAGGGCTTTGGCTCCTCAAGACTTGCTATTTTACCTCCTTTGCAGGTGAATAACCATCTTATAAAAAACTAGACATACTTGTAAGTCAGTACAAGGGCTTTTAATGTATTGAGTTCTGATTTTAAAAATTGTGTTATTACCACTCCTAAATCTAGGAAACTATGGAGATCCTGGCTGATTGATCTTCATAATGATGTAATTAAAGTATTTACTCTATCTTCATAAAATTATGTTAACAATATTCGATAGTTGTGACTTACATTCTTATATCCTGCTTTTTTTTATTATTATTTTTTTTTTATTATCCAACAGGCATATAATGCCTAAATACATTTCATATATACATAGGTTTATACACTCTTGAAAATTACAAAATATTCGTTGTCATCAAATAAGTATTGTCAATTGTTGCATATCTATCCAGTGAAATCTAATATGAGTTGTTTGATCATTTTAG